CTCCCCCAACCACGGGCCTCCACACTGACCAGCCTTACTGTGCAGCATTGTGATTGGCTGAGAGAGGGGAGATGCAAGACTGACACACACAGCACCCAATACAGGTTCTATACAGGGTCACTGTATTATTAATTAAAACTAAAAGAAGCCAGCAAGCAATCATAATTAAAGATGAGTATGGGCATCTTTGGTAATGGAGATTGCATCTTCCATATCAGCATTGTGTTTCTTTTAATTCCAATAACATTTTAAATCCCTACTCTGAATGGATAATTAAACAACAGTGCCACCTATAGACTGGAAATAGTAACACGCAGGGACGAGGCACATTTGTACTAATAAAAAATCATGTCTTAGGGTAAAACATAGGTGAAATAAAGCGTTATCCTGAATTTTAAGTCCGTCTCCTGCTCTCATATTTTATAGTAAATATCTTCTTCGTCCTAACGTTTGGGTTCGATAGTGTTAAAATTACTGGAACCTTTTCACGGCCAACATGTAATGAAAAAATTTTCGGGAATAAAAAGCGATTAAAATAAATAGTTGGAAAATTATGAAAAATTCTGGGGGGTTGCCTGTGGGACCATAAACTTTACAAGAAAGTTTTTAACCAGATGATGGTCTCTTGTATCATGTAGTGACATCATCTTTTTCCATCAATATAATGACAATTCCTAACAAAGGAAAGGGAAGAAATTTACATAAAATTGTTGATAAAGAACTTCCAAAAGTGTTAATTTAGTATTATCACTTAAAAAATAGTTTAAAGTTCCAAGTTAAATATGTATAGAAGTATTTTAACATTACGTTGGAATACCGCACCCTCTTTACGTCACTCTCCTCCTCGCGTCCCAACTTCCCAGGTCTGGTCCTCTTCACAAGTTAAGCGCTTGTATTAATTTAGTTAGTATGTCAGTTTAGTGTAAATTTACCTCCATTCTGTGTTATTACTGAGACTAAAAAATGTTTGTCCTATATCTAGTGCCGTACAAAGCTCATCATTGTGTCATAAAACCAAGAGTTCCACCTTATATAAGGCTCTTCTCCTAAGCGGTGGCAGTTGAATAACGATATTAGAATTTGGTAAATTGTACGATATCACAACCTTTATAGAGTTTGTGTTTACGAAACCTCAGTTATTTCCGTAAAATATAAGTAACTTCTGTATGTCTAACTAAGTACTCATGGTATTGCGTAATACTTTCATGTTGTCTCTTTGATTAATGGGTCCACCTAAAGTACCATGTCATTGTCCGTTGTAATTGCGAAGTAACAGTCGTTTCCGATAATGAGTAGGCTACGGCATAGAGTTCTCAGGAAACGTTCTCTACGGAAGAAAGAAACCGTCACGCTGCGTTGTTTTGACCAACTAAACACTACTTCACCGTCGATAAATATGGCCTTCTTGACCTGAAGACAAACAGTGGTGTTCGGACGGCTTGAAGAGGTAAGGTGGTTTACCAGCAAGACATAGACGGTGCAGATAAAAAAATTCAACGTAGGGTCGTAGGTAGACGTCTCGGAAGACGAAAAACGTGTTGGTTGGAAAATAGTGAATCGTAACCGAGAAGACCAGTAAGCGTCCATCGACACCATGAAACGGAACGAGGTCTTTAGACTCTAATTTTCGAGAATCACTCAACGTGTAACCAATAGTGGTGGTTGTCTAGACTATACCCGTGTATGCTACTCGAGACACTTTGGTCCCTCTGAGGAAAGCTGAGAGGTGATTAGTTGAGAAATCACTAACTCTTGTGGGAGAGAGTTGTTGAGCGGACAGGTAACTCTCTCTTGGTCGTCGTAATAAGTGGTGTCACGGTGATGGAAACCTTTTTCGAAACAACGTGAGGAACAAACGTTACGTGGCATCTCCAGATTAGACAGGGACTTTGACCCAAGTTTAAAGGGACTTCAAACAACTTCCCGTCGTTTTTAGTGTTTTGATGCGACTTGAAGAGATTCCTTACAGTAGTCGTGTAGACTGGGACGTTGTACCAATAGGGGTTGTTCCGACCACGTCTAAGGAAAAGTAAATTTCGGTCCGTGTAGAAGGAACCTGAGTCGGTTACATAGAACCCAGTCCGTGCGGCGTATGAAGGAGTCGTTCCGACGACCAAGTGAACCTGGAATTAAGACAATCGAAGAGTGGTCATCGTAACTAGTTCTTACAGAACGTAAGGTACGGACTCAAGGTCACGACGGAGAGCTATGGAACAACTACCTTAGAATAAACGAATTCTGTCCAAAGTCCGACTCTTAGTCCAACTAACACGTGTATGCTCTCGAATCACATACCGACGAACCAGAACCTCTCCCTATCCACTCTCTTCCGAATCGGTTTCTTATAACACCCATTCGGAGACTTCCTCAATATTTTTAAGAACTTCATTAATTGCGTATAGAGTGCATCTCTTGCCAACAATATCCGTCCTTTTCCAATTTAGATTCATTTATGAATGGTAAAATTTCAGTGCCGGAATATATAGTAAGTATCACTAACTCTCTCATAAAACTTCCCTGTTTCATTATTAAAAGGGTCTGAGGGGTTATATAACTCCACTTCAGGAGAAACAACAAGTCTTCTCACCTACACTCGTCCCCTATAGAATAAACCGCCTATCGAGGTTTTGAGACCTTACTAAGGAGTATTATTCATTTCTCCCACGCAAATATGTACCGAATCCCGTTTACACACACAAAAGTAACCGTCATTTATAATAACCGACGCACTTAATGACAAGTATAGATCATGAGAGACAAAATACAGAAGCTACACACCCCATGGTTTAACCCGATGTTTGCTAACACCCTCTTTATCAATTTGTACAAAATAATGGAGATTATACTTTACCTTCGGTCGAAAATACTGTCCCTGCTCATCTCGACCCCTCCCCTGTAGAGAAGAATTCTAGAGTCGTACCAGTTAATAAGTCCCTGTTAGATGAAACAAAATTTATCTACACACACCAATTAATGAAAGGCATAATTTATTATTGTCATACACCATTTCCTTCGCCACCTTTATAACGTTACAACTTAGGAAATAAAACTTCATTCCTACACTTGTTATCGAGTTTACCGACTTTCCGACGTCCTGTTTATACACACAAGAGATATACCCGGGACAAAACGACTTCAAACATAAAGATACATTATTTCGTAGGATTATAGACGCATTCTCGTATACAACTACCAGGAGTCAATAAAATAACTATACTAATCAATTAATGTTACATAATGCAATATAAATCGGTTGATATTGTAGATATAGCAAATTTTGTATGAAAAATTGAAACACACACCATTGGACTCCAAACTTCTACCTGTGTCCTGTTCTGGTATTTCCCCCTACACACACACGACGACGTTCTACACTTTATTCTATTCCTTTAGAACAATAAAAATCTCGTCCAAGCATGTCTCGTGGTTTTCCGCTGGACCAAAGCGTTTGACTTCTCTGGAAAAACAAAAAAGGCCCACAAGAAGACGGACACAGCCGTGACTACACCCAACGTTAGTCCGGATACACAAACCAGAGAGAGGTTATTCTACTGGAGACCCACCTTTCAAGTGCGTGTGTGGAAGAGAGGACACAAAAATCATACTTTCGGTCACAAAAGGAAACCAAGCTAGGAGCAAAGAAGGTCCGACATGGATCTTCTCATTCTGTCCTCTTTCATCGTCCATTACATGAAGGGAAACATAAACATAAACAATGAACAACATAGTTAATTTTGTTCTAATAACAAATTGAACGTAAGACCACAAAAGAATTAGGGAAGGGGAAAAAATGTACTTAAATGGGTCAAAAATGGTTATTGCATGTGCGTCTCTGTTCCCAACCAAAATTATGTAGGAGGGTTAAGAGGTTGTGGAGGAAGTATCCAAGGAGAACACGTCTTAAGGCGGGTGAAATGCAGGACACTTAATTGTTATGCTTATTTTAACCCCACCAGTTTTAAAGTTCACGTTGACATTGTTATGGTATATAATAGTGGTTCTTCTACCTTTTATAACAAATCAGATAGACATGTCATAATTTACGTTAGACGTATAAATGGTTTTCTGTATAAATTTGGAAATGATCCTACTTTGTTTTGTTACTCAACTTAGTTGTCTTCTAATATTTAGAGTTCAAAGTAAAATTATCAACACTAAGAAACATGTACAGTAGTACCATTCTTTGAGGACTAGACACGGTAAATGATGAACATAGTTTTTAATAAAAAACAGAGACAACGTTGAATATGGTTTATTTCAATCAAAAAGTATCGTCCTCAACTTCGGTTTCGTTAATTTCTATTACAAACCGAGTCTATTACACACTTACTTGTAAATGGTATCGCAACATATAACTAATTGAATAAAAGTGCAGTAAAGTACCAGGGATTCGGTAATGTTATTAGTTTATTAACAGTCAACGTCTGATGAGTAAAATGTAGTACTGTAGAGTTACGAATCAGACTTACTTGAACAGACCAAAACGCACACCCAAAATTAGATTCGGAACTAAGGATAGGGACTACAGCGATCTAAAATTATACTAATAAACATGATTAAACACCACGTAATACACAGTACTTTGTAGGACCGTGATTAGTAAAGAACCTGATTTAGACAGAAAGTTTTCTTTGAGGGCTCCGTAGAGTTACTT